CCAGTTTCTTATCCTTGGCAATTTTAAGCTGGGTGGACTTCAACTCCCAGGATTCCCCAATGCTGACTGGGGAATTCTGAGAGTCGAAGTTCAAAACACTTAAAGTTCTTAAGGTTAAGAAACACTGTCAGACATTATCTGGGAGAAGTGCAATGCACGTATTTATAATACATATGTGGGTAGAATCAAAGGGATGGGAAAATTGTATATTCTTATAATGTTAACACAGGAGAAAGAGTAGAGTATCTATTTCTGCAGAAATTTCCTTGCGTTTATGTCACATTTATCTGCCTTCCCACCTGAATTGTTTCTCTAGCCTCAAACATCCCTGCTACTTAAGAATGATGGGGAAACTTCCTTCCTCATGGAAATGCCAAATGTGGGAATCACTCTGAATTCCCAGCTTCAAAGAGACATATCTGCATTACCCATCATTCCAGCATCCAAGTTCATCCCAGGCTCATCTGCCTTCCTACCCATTTCCTCTCATGGTAATGGAAGGGATGAAGGCCTCAAGGCTAACCAACACTGGAAACACACGATCAAGAATGAAGATAAATCTACAGAGGTGATCAATGGATGTTGTCCAATTTTTCATGGAGAATAAGTATTCTATGTAAGGTTCTAGGAAGCTAGTCTATGTCTTGGCCAGTTTTTGTCAACCTTGACAACTTTAAGATCGGTGGACTTCCAACTTCCAGAATTCCCCCATAAGAGGAGTGTGCTGGCTGGGGAATTCTGGGAGTTGAAGTCCACCCATCTTAAAGTCGTCAGGGTTCTCAAACACTGGCCTATATGATAGTCCTTGTTGACATCTCTATGGAATGCCGGATGTTCCAGAAGTTAGTCTCTTGGCCCAAAGGTCAACCCACGATCCCCCCACTTATTCACCATCTCTCCAGTGTGGCATCTCTTGTGTTTCATCTGGATAGAGCTATCGCAAAATCCTTTGTCACAATAAGGACATTTATAAGGTTGCTGCCCTGCATGGAGTTTCTGGTGGGTGATCACTTGGCACCACTGGTGGAAACACCAGGCATAACCCTAAGTGTGAGTCCAGTGCTAATTCAGATAAACAGAATTTAGGACAAACTGCTTTCTATGCATGTCACACATATAGGGTTTCTCCCTCTTTTTTTTTGTCAGGCTGGGTAATTTGGGGCCTATTAGTGTCTCAGAGCTTACTCCACTGGGCAGTTGTTGTGGGGAAAATAGGGGGGAGGAAAAAGTAATCATGTAGTTTGCTTCTTTGAGTTACTTATAAAGCAATAAAGTGGGGATAAATAATAAATAAACAAAACCAGCCCCTTGAACTGAGTCTGGTAGCCAGTGTAGATGGGAAAGGATTGGAATAGTATGTTACATAATTCCAATCCTCCTTTCCTACCCCTTTCTCCCAAATATTCATTTCTTCCAAATAATTTTACTGCTATGTAAAATTATTGCATAGTTTCACCTTAACTTTCTCACTAATTAATCTCAATTTATCCCTAAACTTTTGGACATTTTATCTTATGGTATTTTATCTTAAGTATTGATCTCACTATAAAAAGAAGAAACTAAGAAAGGGCTCACAGGAAGAGAAGAAAATAAATGAGAGGCAATTCTTCTCAGGACAGAAATAAAATGAGGATGTGGCTTTTTTGGCTAAGAGAATTAACTTCCGGTTCACATAGTCCTACTTTTCATGTCTTTTTTGTCCTGTAAGAAATTGCCCAAATTCCTTCTCTGCAGGGAAGGGTCAAAAAAATTCAAGATGGTGGTTGCCATAATGGCAATCATAGGTGACACCGATAAAAGATGGTGGGTGTTTAATCATGCTGCCATCTTAATCCTGTTCCCTTGCAACCGATGTCCCTGCTTCCCTCCTGTTCTTCCTGAATTTCCATTTCAGTGTTTTTTGCATATGATACATACAAAAATCACAAGACAATGGGTTCACAACAGTGATTAACTAAGGTTGCAACCCTTCAGAGAGAAATATCTTTCAGAAAATTAGAGGAAGCCAATATCGGCTTCTCCAAATTATCCTGTCACAAGTCATGGTTTTTGAAAGGTTAGACTAAATTCAGTTGTGCACCTCAGTTAGGAGCTGGGACATTTAAAAAAAACATTTCTTGGTTATTTTTCTATCTCCCCTTCCTGCTAAATATTGAGGTGGCATGCATCATAGTCCTTTCATCAAATGTTAATACCACAATGACTACTTTGTCACCTATGTTGAGTTGAGAAAAAAACACACACAAAGTTGAGTCTTTCAGCACCTTTCTTGACAGCTAAATTATAGGAAAGGCAAAATTTTATTTAAAAAAGTGTTACCGGTAAGGGAAACGGGCAGCATACTTGAGTTAACCACATCTATGGTTGTGAGCAAGCTGTAAAATGTTAATTGTTTCTTTCACAGCACGGATGCTTCCTTTCAGATCAATTTGCTCACCATTACATTTTGTGAAAAATAAAAGTTCCTTTCAAGGGTCACTTAGGCTAATTTCAGCCCAATTGTAATAAATGTATTGCACTGATGAGGTTACTTAATTTGGTAATGAAATGTCTGCAAGAAAACCATAAAAGAGAGAGCAACAAGGACACCACACTTTGACCCTAAGCTACACATATTTTCTATTTATAAACATATTTTATAGTAGGTATGAATTTAAACATTTCTTTCTATGTATCTAAAGTATTGGAGGAATATAGTAAATGCTCCAGTTAAAATTTCTTCTACTAAATACTTCACTGTGTGGATCACAGTTGTTCAGTCAATATATATATTCGAATTTTGATGTGAGAGAAGTGTCTAAAATTAACATGGACAGTTTAAGAAAATAAAGAAGTGGATCATCAAACAAATCAACCTACAATTTTTGGCTCCTTTGTCTCTCTGAGGTACATGATGATGATATCTAGTTGTGTAATTAAACACCTGCAAGAAAACAACCAAGCTCAGCAAGAACTAAGGAGGCCTCATTTCAAGCCTGAGTTGCAAACGTTCTTCTTTATCGCAACCTAGCATTCTCATTCAAAGCACAGATGACCAGCTTCAAATGATCATACTTTGGGCATATTATGGGAAGACTTGGTTCTCTGGGGAAGGCCTTAATACAGGGGTGTCAAACTCAAGGCCTTTTGGGCCTTAGATCTGGCCCGTGTCCCCCCCTGGAAACAGTGAAGTACTGGCCAGCGGTGCCTCTGTCAGCAAAAACTGAGCTTGTAGGGGGCATGCATGGACCTCCCAAACTCCGTTTCTTCTGGCAGAGAGTTGCAGGAGGCCATTGCAGCTGAAAACAGAGCTCGGGTGCCCGTTTACCCTGGCAGAGCTCTCAGGACACCACAGGTACCCCTGACATGAGTGACATTGAGCTGGCCAAGCCCACCCTGGCCATGCCCACCCCATTGAAGACCACACCCACCTCACTGAAGGCCACACCCACCCTGATGCAGCGCTCAATAAAATATAGTTTGACACCCCTGCTTAATACTAGAAAGCATAGAAGTAAAGACGAAAAGAAAGTGATCAGCAGCAAGGTATAGTGATGAAAGCTTCAGTGTTGGAAGACCCACAAACCAAGTTAGAGATAGGTTCAAAAAAAATGAGAATATTAGTAGATGGTTGAACTAGGGAGTTTTTAATGTTCTCTGGGCATGTTTGCTTGTAATCATGTTGTTTGCTTACAACCATGATCATACTTGAAATATGCAGTTCTGATCACCACAATTAAAAAAAAATCGAAACCTCAAAAGTATGGAGAGAAGAGCAAGAAAGAAGGTTAAGGATCTGGAAGCTAAATTGTATGACAAACGTTGAGGGACCTAGGTAGGTCTAGCCAATTGGAGAAGTGGGAAAGGGGACACACATGATAACTGTCTTCCAGTATTTGGGGGGCAATCAAAAGGAGAGGGGATTGACTTATTTTCTAGGGCACTGATGGACAACTTTTCCTGACAGCTATGCATTGTGGATACTCCAACATTGGAGGTTTTCAAGATGAGACTGGACAACCATTTGATTGGGATGGTATGAAACTTGAGCAGAGGGTTAGATTAGAAGACTTCTGAGTTCTAGCCTTATGATTCTATGGTATTATTGCAGATGTTTCATAACCCAGCTTGGTCACACCACCCGTGCTGACAATGTGACTAAATCCTGGTTTATGATTCTGCAGGTTAGAAGAGCAACTCCACAGTGATCTGCGCTCTACACTGACAGTTTTGCAAGGGTTTTCACTTGTTTTTAAATTTTGTATTCCCTCATTGCTTTTATTGAGAGTTTAGCTGCCTTGCTTGATTGCAATGAGTAATCATAAAGATCAGCTAATTTTAAAATAAGCAAAGTTTGCAAAAGTATTGCAATGGCATTCTTATAAAATTAAGATTGCCATATGGACTGAAAACCTCAAATTATCCATTAGATGGCAATAAGGATTTATACCTTTATTGATCTCTTTGCTGCCATCTAGTGGACCAGCATGGTTATGCAACTCCAACTGGCAATTTTATTGTTACCTATTGGTAATATTTTTAGTCTCTGCCTGGATGCTGTCCATGAAACCTTACATCATGAAACCTGTTAATCTTTAAGATATTCCTGGACTTTCCATTGTTTTGGTTGTAACCAAAACAATTGAAACAAAGCACATTTATGCCTTTGCTAAACAAAAGCTAGTTTTAATATGAGGGGGAGGGAAACAAAGAGCAGAGAAGAAGGAAGCTTCTATCCTGTTTTAACTTAATCACACTAATTTTATACCAAGTTTTGGTAATGAACCAAAATCCTCTAGTATATCTCTGCTTCTCAACCTCCTTTAACGTATGTCCCCACCCCTTCTCTCTCCTTTGAGGGATGGACTTTCTTTTCAATATAAAAAAAAACCTCTCTCAGGTTAGAGCTGATTGCAAATTCCCTGCAAAGCTCTCTCGGAGTTTTTTCTTATCTTCTTTCCTTGGGAACCAATCTTACTGCAAACTAATTTCTTATCCTTCCAGGCATGGATTTTCCATCGATGCTTTTCTACCTGGGCACAGGTGAGTGTCCCAAGCAAGGGAAATCCTATTTGCATTAATTGGGGACCCCCCCTCTTTATCTCACCAATGTCTTTATCCTAATTAAGATCCTAAACATAAAAAACTTGTAAAGTCCAGCTGCAAAAATCAGCTACTTTCCACCCCCACCCCCCAAAAAATCACATTTCTTTTCTTAAAGCGTTGGTTTAAAAAGCTGTGCTACTTAGTCCTTTAACACTATCTGCAGTCTGGGGCAAATTGACTCTTTCACCAGCTTCACAAACAATGCCAATTCCTGTGTTAACAATACCACAGGACAAAGTAATTTATAATAACTTTTTTCAGCTTCTCCTTTCTGAAGGAGGAAATCATAATACTCCAGTCATCTAAGGGAGTAGATCTGCGAAATGGGTAACGTTAATTTTTTCTTTAAAAAAAGATTTACTGACATCTACAAGGTATCTTTATTTTGTCACTAATAGCCTACCCTGCCAGCAAAAATATTCCTAATTTTGCAATGGTGTTGAATATCTGTAGCTCGGGTGTAAGATGAAGGTGAGGGTTTGTTCTCCAAGCTTCTGGGTGGCTTCCAAGTACTTTGTTACCAGACTGAGTCACATCTTCAGGGGAGTTTATGGGATGTCGGGGTCAGTGTTCCTGTGTTTATAAGGGCTCCAGGTATGGGCATGTCAAGGGAGGGTCTAGTAATGGGTCAGCTGTGAGTTATCAGGGAATCTTGTGATGGGTCTTGAGGTGGGTTGTGATAAGGAGATTACATCCGGGTCATTGGGAGGTGAACTGCGGCTGATTGGGGGGGTGGGATTGTATGGGTTGGTTGAGGGTCAGTGCTGTCCCTGGTTGGTTGTGTGGTTGATTTGGATTCTGAGGGGTTTGTAGGCTGGTTATAGGTCGATGTGTCTGTTGAAGGGATTGCTTGTGGAGTGCCAGGCTTTGATGAACCCACGAGCGTGGCAGGTGCTAGCGTAGCCACCAATTTTTGTGTTGCTGCAATCAAATTGGTGCTGTTTGGTGGCAGTGTGGGTAGGGTTTAAGGATTTGGGATTGTGGTGTTTGTGGATCTTGGTTTTTAATTGACAAGGATGTTTTGTCCCCCATAGAATTGGTTGCAATGGTCAGAGTTGATTTTGTCGATTACATTCTTTCAGGGATGTCAAACTAGTTTCTTCGAGGGGGTGGATCAGCTTTGTAGTTCTCCTCTGCAGGCTGGCCGGGGTGGGGGAAGATGGAGACAGGACAGATGCCTCCTGCAGCACTCTGCTGGCCAAAATGGGGAGTGGGGAGACTGACAGGGCACGTCCCGCTGCACTCCTACACCCTGTTTTGGCTGCCAGACATTCATGGGCCAGTCCTTTGCTATTTCCAGGCCAACCCCATGGGTCAGATTTAAGCATCCCTGCACTGCTGCTTTCATCCTTCTGTATCTTGTCTTTGGTTCTTGATAATTTCTGGCGGAGTGTGGCTGTGGGTTTGTGAACTATTGTTATTCCTAGCCATTGGAGGATTCTGGCTGTCGTTTACAACATTCCTTTTGTGTACAGTAGGGTAGAAAATAGGGGACATATCCCCTAAACTCAGGGGTGGGTTTCAAAAAACCTAGCAACTCGTTCTCTGCCCAGTTGCTGGGTGGGCATGGGCGTGCCCATGATGGGCGTGGCCTAGTTGGCCTCCTGTACCACAGCAGCACGGCCATTTTCCCCCTCTCCATTCTCCAAAGGCTTTCCTTGAGCCTACAGGAGGAATGTTTCCCCCCACCCCCCAGCTCTATTCCAATAGTTCCAGGACGGCCATTTTTCTCCCTCACAGAGCCTCCACATGGACACCGCACTTACCTGGGATCCAAAATGGGCTGCATGGAAACTCCTGGGAAGGGAGGGGTGGGGTGGGAGGAGCTACCCAGTCATTGCAACTACCTGTTCAGGAAACCTCATGTAAAATTAATATCCGGTTCGCCCAAACCGGGGCGAAGCAGTAGCAGCCCACCCCCATCTAAACTTTGCTGAAGATGTTACCTAGCCTCATAACTAAACATTGGGAGACCAACCCACAAGCTCGAAGAATGAACCTTCACTTCATATTCCTGATTCTGCTTCCTTGATAAAGGGGAGATAATTCCAGGTAGAATTCTGAGCCTCCTTAAATCCATCATTCTAGCCCTCTTCTACAATTCTCTCTTCCTGACGGAATGTAATTTGAGGAAAAATGTCTGATTTTAAGAGGCTCAGTGAAAGTCTCTTTATCTCCAACAGTGTGGGTGCACTTGTGCTACGGATTCAATGTGGATGTGGATACCCCAACGATATTTGAAGGCCAGAGTCAGAGTTTTGGCATAAGTATCGCCCAGATTGAGAATAAGTAAGAGGAAATGGGTTTTTAATTTGGTTTTTACACTCATTGCAATGCTCAGGGTGGCTTGCTTCAACTCTCATTTTCTATCCTTACCTCTTCCTCATCTGCAGTGTTTACTCCTGTTTGTTGGAGACAGTCACTGATTTGTTCCAAGCATTGTTCAGTTTTTGTAGAACAAAAACTGTATAAATTAAGATATGACATTGATTCAGCTTCAGATCCTCTCTGAAGAATCTGACAGTGGAGCTAACAAAATATTAGTCTATGTTCATTGTCTCACTAAACAATTCCCTTGTTGATAAAATAATAGCTGCAAAAATCTTTACATTTCTATGTAACTTACTGTATTATTTCTAATCTCTCTCTATCGTGTATTTGTCTGTCTATCTATCTATCTATCTATCTATCTATCTATCTATCTATCTATCTATCTATCTATCTATCTATCTATCTATATCTGCCTGCTCGCCTGCCTGCCTCTCTGTATTTTTCTCTCTCTCTGTTTCTATGTCTCTGTCTCTTTTGTCTCTCTGTCTGTGTGTGTGTGTATGTCTCTGTGACTCTTTCTCTGTGTCTCCCTGTCTTTGCCTCTGTGTCTCTCTCTCTCCCTTTCTGTCTGTCTGTCTGTCTGTCTGTCTGTCTATCTATCTATCTATCTATCTATCTATCTATCTATCTATCTATCTAATCATCCATACATATATATATTCTTAAGTTTTCGCGGGTACTTACATGTATGGCATTCAGCTTTGTTCGGGTATTTTCCCACGTCATTGTAGTTGTGCTTTTAAAGTTGTAGCAACGTTCGGCAGAATCTCATCTGCCATCATCAGGCTTCTGTATATATATATATTCTGTATCTATCTATCTATCTATCTATCTATCTATCTATCTATCTATCTATCTATCTATCTATCATCAATTACCTATCCATCCATCTCTCATATTTTCCCCAGGTCAGCATAATTTTTGCATATTACGATACTTTAAATATTTTGCCTATTTTGACAATACATCAGTATCACCCATTAACTGCTTTCTTTCCTCTTCTCTCTTGCTAGAGACTGCTACTCCTTCCTATACTGCTTTGTTTGCAGCCAACCATGTTGAAGGAGTTGTGCGATTATTAATCATCCTATTGTTCTCTTCCCCCCAGGGTGCTCGTTGGGGCCCCATTCGAAACAGGCCAGGTGAATGAAGTGGGCAAACTCTACCAGTGCACCTACCCTTTGGGTGACTGTAAAGAGATTAGCATCCAAAGTAGGTTTGAAGAGTCTTTCAATTTCCCAGCTGGATAGTTGCATTCAAAGCAAAGAATGGGGTTGGGAGTTCCAATTCTGGCCCTTTGCAAGAATTGGAGAAGAATCTGGTCACAGAGGAACATGTCTGGGTATCTTTCAGAGGAAAGAAATTCCATTTTCAAGGAAACTTAGAAGAATAGAGGGTGAGATCAAAGGATAGCAAGATATGATCAGTTGCTGAACCTAGTTACAGCAAAGTCTTTAAACCTTGGCTAAGCTATACAAAATTATGGATCAAAATAAATTATTCAGAGTCCTTCCTGTATTTTTTAAAATTGTACACTTGCAGATGGATTTATGCTGGAGAAGCACCAGGTACATTGGATAATGGTATCATCTTCATCCCTGTATATTTCTTATAGGACCAAGAGATGCTTTCAATATGTCCTTTGGCTTGACCTTGGTTGCCCAGAATGATCAGGTCCTGGTAAGTATATACTGCTTCCAAACTGTGAAATGAACTAATGTATATTATTCCAACACCAAATTATTTATTTAATAGTACAGAACACAGGAGAGAAGCTCCTAGTGTCCTTCTTTCCATTTCTGCTACCGTCATGGACATTAAAGGATTAAAGCTGGAATAACCAAAGATCCCCTGTGGGATTGTGGGATTGTGCATAGCAATAATACTTATATACTGCTCCATAGTGCTTTACAGCCTTTTCTAAGTGATTTATAGAGTTAGCATATTGCTCCCAGCAATCTGGGTTCTCATTTCACTGACCTTGGAAGAATGGAAGACTGACTTAACATGGAGTTGATTAGGATAGAACTGCTGGCAGTTGGTAGAATTAAACTGCAATACTGCATTCTAATCACTGCACCATCATGGCTCCTCGATATAATTACATGGTAATTATACCATAGCATTTTTCCAATACTTTCTTCCCTTCTGTCATGTACTCACCATACCCTAAATAATAATAGTTTCCAAAGTCTCTGAAAAGGTCCCCGAAAATACAACCTACCCCAAAAATAAACCCTAGCCCAGTTTTCATGCCTGCGCCTAATATAAGCACTACTCCAAAAACAAGTCCTAGTTAAGCCCTGCCCACTCCTCTCCCACCTTCTGGTTGTATGTGGTAGGGTGAGGTGCCTGCATAAAAATTAAACTAGGATGCAGGCAGGGGGCAGCCCTCCATGCCCTGCGCCTGCTTACCTTATCCCAGGCATGCCTCCCATGGTCTGACACCTATTGCGCCACTGCCCAATTTCTCCTGTGGCCACGTGACACAGATGCCATGTGGCGTACCATGGCAGTGCTGCTGCTTGCAGCAAGAGGCAATGTGATGCATTGTACCACTGGCACAGCTTGCACACACAGTGGCACCACACAGCCTCCTGCTGTGAGCAGTGGCACGGTGCAACAAACCACGTGGCATCTGGCCGTGAGTGGCTGTAAGCAGCCACAAAACAAGTCAGCCAACAACATGACAGGTGTTTGGGCATGGGAGGCCTGGCTGCCAAATAACTATTTTGTTTAGGTTTGCTGGTATTTAAAAACCAACCCATATTTTTGCTAGCTAGACAACATACTATATGTGTTTGCTTTGCTCTGTAAATAAGGCTGACTGAGAGTTTGCTGGGGATAAACTAACCTGGAAATTACCATAATTTGCAAAGATTGTAAAGATATTTTCAGTGAAGCTTTTTAAGTTGGATGAAGTAGGAAGATTTTAACTACTGTTTTATATTATTCAAGGGGAGGAGAAATGTTCAATTCTTAAAAGGGCAGGAGGGCAGGAGGGAGGGAGGGAGGGAGTGTTGTGGAGCGGTGGAAGGAAGAGGCAAGAGCCAGAGTGAACAAAGAACAGGCTTTATTACAGGGAATAAAGGGTTGCCGCGTCTGCCTTCTAACTAGCAGGTTAGCTGGCGGCAACGGGCTGGCTCTGCTCGACAGCCGGCTTTTATAGCCGGCTGTCAAACGGAGCCAGCCAATGGGAGCGGCTGGTGCTCCCGCTCAAACAGCGGACCTGGTTGGGAACTCCAACCAGTTCCAAAGACATAACACTCCTTTCCCCCAGCTGGGCACATGCGTAGTCCTTTAGGTAAGTCGGTTGTCTGCGCTGGCGACAAGAACGTCGCAACCCAGGTAAACTGCTGGCTGGTGTCAAGTCCTTGCCCCCGGAAATTGCCTCGGAGGTTGTTGGGGAATGGGCTAGGTCAGGTGTGGTGTTCTGCGAGTTCGGTAAGTCCCCCTGTTTGGGCTGACCATGGCGAGTCGCTAGGTCCGGCTGGCAAACAGGTTCGCTTGGCTGTTGGTTCGGTGTCTCTAGTTGGAAACTCGGGTCCTCCAGCAAACTCTCCTGGTCGACGGGGTAGACCGGGTCCTGCAGGGAGCTTCCGTCTGAGCAGACTGGTACCGGCAGGGAGTCCTTGGTGCTGGAAGGTTGGGCTGGGTCGGCATCAGTCGCACTTCTCCATCGCCTTCTGAGTTGGTCTACGTGTCTCCGTCACAAGCGTCCATCTTCCAGGAGGACCCTGTAGGATCTAGGACCTGTGACTGACACAACTTGACCTGGTACCCACAAAGGATCCCCTGCATAATTCCTGGCATACACCAGGTCATGCAGGACAAAGTCCCTGACCAGACTGTCAGACCCTAAAGGGGCGTCTGGGCAGTAGTGGGGATGCAACCTGTCCAGGGTGGTCCTAAGTCGTCTCCCCATCAAGAGTTTTGCAGGGGATTTATTAGTAGTGGTGCAAGGTGTCGTATGTTGGCTCAGAAGGTAACGTGACAGTTTAGTGTGCCAGTTTTCCTGGCCAAATCTGGCGAGTGCCTCCTTGGCTGACCTGACTGCCCTCTCAGCCATCCCGTTGCTAGCAGGGTGAAAGGGGGCTGTAAGTATGTGTCTGATGCCCAAGTTAGCAACGTACATACTGAACTCACATGACGTGAACTGCGGGCCATTGTCAGACACCAGCATGTCAGGGAGTCCATGGGTAGCGAATAAGCGGGTCAGAGCCTTAACTATTGCTTGAGTGGTAGTCGAGGGTAGCAGGGCCACATCTATCCATTTGGAGTAGGAGTCCACTACCACCAAGAAGGTCCTGCCGTGCACCGGTCCAGCCAGGTCGATGTGCAGGCGAGACCAGGGGGCACTAGCACTCTCCCACTTGGTGGGCGTGGCAGCTGGTGGGGCAGCCCTGGTTTCTTGGCAAGGTTGGCATGAGCTTACCCAGCTGGCGATTTGGGCATCCATGCCGGGCCACCAAACGTAGCTGCGGGCCAGAGCCTTCATCCTTACGATGCCCGGGTGGCCCTCGTGAAGCACCTTCAGGATGGGTACATGAAGAGTGGCTGGAATGACTACCCTTGTACCCCACAACAGACATCCTTGTAGCTTTGATAGTTCCTGCTTACGGGTTTTAAAAGGAGCAAAGTCAACGGTACATTGAGTTTCCAGCCACCCCCTTCCCACCCAGTCCAGTACCTGGGCAATTATCTTGTCTTTTTTTGAGTGCGCAGCAATGTCCTCGGCTGTAACCGGTAATTTAAGTTCATTAACTTCAAAAATGGCGTGAACCGGTGCTGGGTCTTCGACTGGGACTGGTAGGGGGCAGCGACTAAGGGCATCAGCATGACTCAAGTTTTTGCCAGGTCGATGCACCAACTTGAATGAGTAAGCGGCCAGGAACAAAGTCCATCTGGTCATTCTAGGTGATAGTACCTGCGGGGTTTGCTTATCCCCTGATAAGAGTCCCAGGAGAGGTTTATGGTCAGTTACAAGTTCAAAATGGTGCCCAAACAAAAATTCGTGAAACTTTTTAACTGCAGCCACCGCAGCCAGGGCCTCTTTATCAATTTGACTGTAGTTCCTTTCTGCCGTAGAGAAGGTCCTAGAGAAGAAGGCAATTGGTGCCTCGGAACCGTTGGGAAGTCTGTGGCTTAGGACAGCCCCAATCCCAAAAGGGGATGCATCAGCCGCTAGGACCAGGGGAAGTCGTTGATCAAATTGAATTAAAACTGCATCCGATGTGAGTAAGGATTTGACTGACTTGAAAGCATGGGCTTCTTTGGGTCCCCAATGCCAGGGGGATTCTTTGTCTAACAGCCTGTGTAAGGGTTCAGCGATAGATGCTTTGTGCGGGAGAAATGAAGCGTAAAAGTTTAGTAGCCCCAGAAAAGCTTGGAGCTCTGTCTTGTTAGTTGGTGTGAGCGTCTCATGGATGGCTTTTACCTTGGATTCGATTGGGTGGATGCCAGAGGCATCTATCCTATATCCCAGAAAGTCCACTTGCCTAGTGGCGATGGCGCACTTCTCCCTTTTAAGTTTGAGGCCATGCTGCCTAAACTTCTCTAGAACCGCTCTGACCCTCTGTATGAGCTGAGGTCTGTCAATTGCTGAGACTAAGATGTCATCGAAATAAGGGACAACCCCTGGGAGACCTTGGAGAATCCTTTCCATGAGTGATTGGAATATACCCGGGGCTACACTTACACCGAATTGGAGGCGTTTACACTTGAATGCCCCTCTATGTGTGACTATGGTTTGTAATTCAGCTGTCTGATCATCAACAGGGAACTGTTGGTATGCCTGGGACATATCTAACTTGGCGAAAATGGTGCCGGGTTCAAAGGTGTGTAACAGGTGCTGAATAACAGGGACAGGGTATGCGCTGACCTGCAGGTAATGGTTGAGGGTGGTTTTATAGTCTGAGCAGATTCTTAAACTGCCATCTTTCTTGAGTGGGGTGA